AAATTAAAATGGGCATTAACAAATAAATATTGACAAAATTTGTTAGAATTGTCATAATTCAATACTTGTAGTAATCCATCTATCTTTTTTTCTCAAAAAATTATTATACAGAAGAAAATAAAAATTATCACTACTACACTATTAGCTTAGTTTTTGGTTGATAATGACAAAAAAAAAAAAAAAAATCACAACAAAACACAAAAGAGAAGAAAGATCCAAACTATGCCCTAAAAAGCATGCATGTTAGAAATGACTTGTACTAACACAAATCACAGTTCAGGAAGATATTTGATGTCTCTGTATTGTCAAGCTGCCATCCAGTGCATTATGCATATCATATCACATCAAGGGCCCCTTTATTTAGGGTGCTTTGCCACTATATTTCTCTGGCTACTTGGCCATAACAAGCACTTGGAAGAAATAATGGGGAAGCAAGATGTGTGAGTTTGTTCAGGGTCAGAAGTGTTTGCCTGTCATTATTTAATGTGGAATTCAAATTAAGTTTTAAGTCAACATAAGCGTTTTTATATAAGTCTTTTTTTTTGTTTGACGATAAAAATGAGGTTCAAATCTTGAATACACGCTCTTTAATAATTCATGGGTTACTACTTAGCCTTAGACAATAGTTATTTGCGATCATTATAATCAATGAGGAAATCCTTTTCACACCAAGTGACTAAGTAGTTTTTTTTTTCTCTTTTTTTAAAAAATAATAATTAAATATAAATAAATTTGTCCACCATTTTGTCATGATCATCTATGACCACAACTGTGTTGTTAATAATTATTCTCATACCTTTTCTAGATCCCTCTGTGTGTGTGTGTGTGTGTGTTTTTTTTTTTTTTTTTTTTTTTGGGGGGGGGGTTGAGGAGGGGTTGGGGCATAAGTGCAAGTTGAATGGGTGTATTCCTTCATCCTGTCATAATATTATTCAATGGAGCTTTAGATCTGCATAATTGTGATCTGGTCAGCCTTGTGACATAAATTTTGAACCTAATTCTGTTTCTTATAGAGGTGCTTTTAATTTGAAAAAGGCTAGGAGATGGTGTTGCTTATAATAAATATATTAGGAACATGTTATTTTCAACTACAACTCAATGGTTAATAGTAGTTGTTGCTAAGATCTAAAACAGTGGCTCAGAGATCATGTCATGATTAATCAAACCTACAGTTGTGTGCATTAAGTGTGTAATCATTAAAAAAGTCGTATTTAGCGGACAAAGCTCCCATTTACGATGATATCTGAGATACAATAATTTGATAAGTGATCTTAAAATTAGATCTATTTTAGAGAGACTGATTTCCGAATCAAACTTGCGACATTTTAGGATGAACCCATGTCATCGCTTCAAGTCTGACCTATCATTATGTTAGGTTTAGTTGCCATTGAGCATGGATTTGTGTTTGGTATATTTCTTTGTTTTGGTCAAACTAAGACCTTGATATTATTTTGCTATTTCTTCTACAATTTAGCAAGTAGTCCCTTTAAGCCTGCTCTATCCATTCAACAATTTGGAGGAAGAATCTTAACAGACTTTAGAAAATAAAAATGCTTCACACTATGGTTTTGGTCCATATGGAGAAGGAATCAATATGGACTGGTTAAGAATAAAACTACATAGAAAAGAAAACAATTAAAGGTTTCAAGAACTAAGGGGTTGTCTGTATGAATGCACAATGGTCCTAAGTAATTATTGTTCCACCCAAATTGCTAATATTTGTTATAAACAATTTGACTAACAAATCAACATTAGCTCTTAATTCAATGTTGTTCGTTGAGCTGTCTGGTTTTATTGCACGTTTAAATAATATATTTCGTGACATTTCAAAATGTGTCCCAATAAATCAAAACTGAAGAAATTGGCGATAAATCCGCAGGTATTTGAATCCTTTCTCACAAAAAGAAAAAACCAAAGGCATTGAAAAGAATATAAAAACATGGGGTTATTCATATATGTTGAAAATGATTTACTAAAGCGGGGTATGAGTTGTTTTTGTAACTCCCCCAAACAAGCCTTAACAACTTGGGCTTCATTGGACTACTAATCCTGATAACCATGTGATGACAAATATATTCCAGCTTATCTGCAGAATCAAAACAGTCTCAAATTGTAAAATAAAATNTGGGTGTATTCCTTCATCCTGTCATAATATTATTCAATGGAGCTTTAGATCTGCATAATTGTGATCTGGTCAGCCTTGTGACATAAATTTTGAACCTAATTCTGTTTCTTATAGAGGTGCTTTTAATTTGAAAAAGGCTAGGAGATGGTGTTGCTTATAATAAATATATTAGGAACATGTTATTTTCAACTACAACTCAATGGTTAATAGTAGTTGTTGCTAAGATCTAAAACAGTGGCTCAGAGATCATGTCATGATTAATCAAACCTACAGTTGTGTGCATTAAGTGTGTAATCATTAAAAAAGTCGTATTTAGCGGACAAAGCTCCCATTTACGATGATATCTGAGATACAATAATTTGATAAGTGATCTTAAAATTAGATCTATTTTAGAGAGACTGATTTCCGAATCAAACTTGCGACATTTTAGGATGAACCCATGTCATCGCTTCAAGTCTGACCTATCATTATGTTAGGTTTAGTTGCCATTGAGCATGGATTTGTGTTTGGTATATTTCTTTGTTTTGGTCAAACTAAGACCTTGATATTATTTTGCTATTTCTTCTACAATTTAGCAAGTAGTCCCTTTAAGCCTGCTCTATCCATTCAACAATTTGGAGGAAGAATCTTAACAGACTTTAGAAAATAAAAATGCTTCACACTATGGTTTTGGTCCATATGGAGAAGGAATCAATATGGACTGGTTAAGAATAAAACTACATAGAAAAGAAAACAATTAAAGGTTTCAAGAACTAAGGGGTTGTCTGTATGAATGCACAATGGTCCTAAGTAATTATTGTTCCACCCAAATTGCTAATATTTGTTATAAACAATTTGACTAACAAATCAACATTAGCTCTTAATTCAATGTTGTTCGTTGAGCTGTCTGGTTTTATTGCACGTTTAAATAATATATTTCGTGACATTTCAAAATGTGTCCCAATAAATCAAAACTGAAGAAATTGGCGATAAATCCGCAGGTATTTGAATCCTTTCTCACAAAAAGAAAAAACCAAAGGCATTGAAAAGAATATAAAAACATGGGGTTATTCATATATGTTGAAAATGATTTACTAAAGCGGGGTATGAGTTGTTTTTGTAACTCCCCCAAACAAGCCTTAACAACTTGGGCTTCATTGGACTACTAATCCTGATAACCATGTGATGACAAATATATTCCAGCTTATCTGCAGAATCAAAACAGTCTCAAATTGTAAAATAAAATGAATCTGGAAACCTTATTGATCCAATCTGTTCTAATCATTTAATACATAGTTTAAATAAGGCAAGAGTCGTATGCTTCAACAAATCGTTAATCAAACTCTAATTTTTCGTTAGTCACGACTTCAACAAATCGCTCAGGCCTATTCATTTGCAGAGCTAGAGCTCTCGATCATTAAGTTCTTACACATTGTACAAAGGGTGACTGTTTTAATTGTTTTTAGTTTCGACTGTCGTATATATTAATACTGATAAAGATAACCGCAACACATTATTTTTACAAAACATCACTGCCTCATATCCTAAAAACAAAATATATAGGCACCAAAATACAAGTTCTATATGTTTTAATTTACTTTCATCTTAATGCTGTCCAGTAAGCCTTTTTATAGGGTCATTGCACAGCATGGTGTCTTTTTTTAAAAAATGCTGCCCATTTTCTTATGTGTATGTTAGAATACTCGACCAATCTTTTTTTTTTTGGTTTAATGGTTAGAGGTGTTTGGATAGAACATACGCGCACGTCAACTACTCCCCTCTCCAGTTCAGTTAAAGGCAGGCTATTTACGCCAGGACTAGAGAATTCATAAGAGATAAATTCCTGATAGTTTGACATCAAAGAGTTGTCAAAATTCGAATTTAGGACGTCTGAATTTATAATTTATCTTTGTTACCACTTGAACTATCTATTGAGGTTAAACTCGACTAATCTTCATCGACACATATAACCGAAAGCATTAAAAAAAAAGATATGTACTAACATGTTATTGTCCTACCATGCCATTTTTATCAAGTCCAATGTCGTACATAATATTTTTGTAATTTCACGTCACATACATGAGTTTAAAATGTGAGTCTTTATAACATTGCTCATAAATTAAGCACAAAATAATGAAATGTGTGACTAACTAATCTAACTACCTTTAAACATGAATTTTGCATTAACAAAATTTATAGTCTCTCTCTCTCATGCCACAAGCTCATAACACAGACATGAACGCTTAACTACAACATTAATTCATGGGGTATGTATGACAACATTTTTTTTTTTTAAAATGTAAAACTTACCAGTATTTCGACATTTTCATTTGTACGATATTACAAGAAATAAAAAAAACAAAGTAATTATCAAATAAAAGAATTTGTAAATGAATTAAATTCTTAAAAAAAAAAACAGAAAATGACACAACTTCCCATGTGGGCCGTATACATTATCTACAAGGTCC